GCTTTTCAAGGCATGATGTTTCTTAACTTTTGATTGCTGTGGGTAATTATCCAAACAATCTAACCTCCCTATTTTCATCTCTTATTACTTTCGTAAACGTGGGGTTTTTACGCATTTCGGGGGTTGTTCCACATTAAATACTACGTACTCTATAATTAGGCGCTATTTAATTTTGTTTTCTAACGCCCCACAGCGTGAGAAGGGAACGAACATATTGGTCAGCGGTCAGCATGGCACTCAGACGTGTCCTTCTTGGCTCCGTAGTTTTATCATTTTTATTGCTTTTATTTGGTCTTCACCCTGAGAAATATTTATCTGGACATAGCCTATATTATTTCTCTTGTGCACCGCTTCGCTCTGGCAGCTCAATGTCTTCGTTGGAAGTGATAACGAGCAACAAACAAGTAAACTCCACTCGGAGATTAGGCCGCCATCTTGGTTGTCGACTTCGTGGAATGAGTTACCTCGGCGCTAGAGTGAACTATCATCACAATTCAACTTCCAGTTTTCAACTGATTCGACTGATCAAATCTGGTGATGTAAGTTTAAATCCTGGCCCCTCTGCTATTCAAGCTGTAATCGGAAATCGACACTCGACAAACGGCGACTTTGCTTATGCTAGCGCTGTTGGCAATCGTGCACCGCCGTGTCTACGTAATTTGGTCCACATTATTGTGCCCAAGCCTCAACAAGTGTTGGAAAATATCAAGAACGATACGCAACGATTGTTGCTTTGCCTTCTCAATGCTCGATCTTTGAGAAATAAGTCAGCGTCGTTTGTGGATTTGGTATGCGATAGCAAAGCAGATCTATTTGCTGTTTCTGAAACCTGGCTTACAGACAATGACACTGCTATTCTTAGTGAAATAACACCACAGGGATACAAACTCCTTCATCATCCCCGCAGTGATCGCAGAGGAGGTGGGACTGCATTGATTTTCAAAGAATCTATCAACGTTGAAAAGGTTTCAGCTGCAGGAAAAGAGTCATTCGAGGTGTCAGAATGGTTGGTCAATCCTGTGGCTACTACTCGTTTGCGGGTTGTTTTAGTCTATAGGCCTCCATATTCTGTTAAACATCCTGTGTCTACTTCAACATTTATCACTGAATTCTCAGATTATCTCGAGTCTTTGGTCATGTCAAGTGAGCCTTTGTTAATACTGGGCGATTTTAACATTCATATGGATCTACCTGATGACACTGACTGTAGAAACATGTCTGACCTTCTGGTGTCGATGGGTCTTAAACAACATGTTCTACACCCTACCCATGAACTTGGTCACACACTGGATTTGATCATCACTCGTATATCTGATAACATCATTGCTGGGTGCCCCTACACTGGTGAGTTGTTTTCTGACCATTTCCCAGTCTTCTGTCGACTAAAACCTGAAAGACCTCCGGTGGCCATCAAACATCTGCAGTTCAGAAAAATTAAATCAATTGACCGTGATCAATTTTCCGAGACGATTTGCTCTTCTCAGCTCTGTCTTGACCCACCGGACGACTTGGATACCCTAGTCAATTGTTACAATGAGACACTAAGATCTATACTAGATATCTATGCACCTGTCTTGTCCCGTGATATTGTTGTTCGGCCTCGAGCACCGTGGTTTAATGAAGATATCAGAAAAGCTAAACGGTCGAGACGAAAGGCTGAAAAGAAGTGGAGAATTACTGGCCTATCTGCAGATCGTGCTGCTTTTAAAAAGGAAAGAAATCGTGTGGTGAACTTGATGAATGAGGCACGTCGTGTCTACTACAATCAATTCATTGAGGATAATAGTTCTGACCAGCGGAGGCTGTTTATGGCAAGTAAGAGTCTACTGAATATGCAGCCGGATAGAGCTCTTCCTCCTCATACTGACGTCTCTCTGCTTGCAAATGACATGGGCGAGTTTTTTATTACCAAGATTGCTAATATAAGGTCAAAGTTGGAAGGTATCTCTCCATCGCATCTTCTGTCGACGTCGGAGCCTGATCTGGTATCTGAACCTAGCGATATTGTACTGTCTGATTTTCAATGTACAACGGCTGTAGCAATACGTGATATGATTACATCAGGGAAGAAAAAAACTTGCATCTTGGATCCAATACCTGCGACTCTGTTATCTGCCTGCCTTGACCCACTCCTTTCTGTAATAACGAATATGGTTAATTTGTCCTTACGAACTGGATATTTTCCTGACGCCTGGAAAACTGCTGTGGTACATCCATTATTGAAAAAGCCTGGTCTTGATCCTCTTTTCAAGAATTTTCGACCAATTAGCAACTTGCAATTTGTGTCCAAACTTACTGAACGTGTGGTAGCCAATCAGATTCAGTGTCACATGATTAAGAACAATCTCTTCCCTCAGCTTCAATCTGCTTATCGTTCCCATCACAGCACTGAGACTGCATTGTTAAAAGTAAAAAACGATTTGCTAATGAATATGAACAAGGGGCATGTATCACTCTTGGTGTTATTAGACTTGAGTGCCGCCTTTGACACTGTTGACCACAAGATTTTATTAAAAGCCCTTCAGACGAAACTAGGTGTTTGCGGCTCTGCTCTTTCGTGGTTCAAGTCTTATTTGGAAGGGAGATCTCAAAGAATTTGCATAAAAGAGACGCTTTCGCAGTCATTTGATTTGAAGTGGGGTGTACCTCAAGGTTCTTGCCTTGGCCCGCTTTTGTTTACTATCTATTCAAGTGATTTGTTTTCTCTCCTGGAGTCCCATTTACCAACTGCGCATGCTTACGCGGACGATACTCAGTTGTATCTGTCCTTTAGTCCTAGTGTTGGCACTGGTGAGTTGGATGCGGTCACTGCCATTGAAAATTGTATTCGTGACATTAGACAGTGGATGTGTGTGAGGAAATTAATGCTAAATGATGTCAAGACTGATTTTATGCTTGTTGGGACACGGAAGCAGCTCACAAAGGTGTCTATCGATGGCATCAGAGTCGGAGATTATAATATTAGTCCTTCTTCATCAGTCTGTAATCTGGGCACATGGTTTGATCCGCATTTGAATATGGATGTACATATTACCAAAACATGCAGCAGCTCATTTTATTATCTTTATAATATCAGACATATTAGGAAGTACTTATCTAGAAGTAGCACTGAAACACTAGTTCATGCGTTTATAACAAGCAGACTTGATTATTGCAACAGCCTTTTGTATGGGTTACCGAAATATCAGTTGTCTAAACTCCAGCGTGTTATGAATGCTAGTGCCCGTTTGGTATATTGTGCTCCAAAGTCGTGCCACATCACGCCTCTACTTCACGAATTACATTGGCTGCCTGTTTGTTATCGTATCGAATATAAAATAATTCTTCTTACATTTAAGGTATTGCATGGTATGGCGCCCGATTACTTGCGCCATTTAATATCTATCTTGCCGCCATCTAGGTATAATTTAAGGCGCAACGATGACTCTGCAGCTTTATTAACTTTCCCGAAGATAATATCCAAGAAGACCCTGGCAGATAGATCGTTTAGTTGTGCCGCCCCTAGACTTTGGAATTCGCTTCCTACCACAATAAGATCTATTTCCAGTTTAGATATTTTTAAAATTAGACTTAAAACTTTTTTATTTAATAGGGCGTTTAATTAGTTCTATAGTTTTTATAATTGAATTGCATTATTTTAGAATTGTAATTTTGAACTTCTATTTTAATTTCTAATTTAATATTTATTGTAAGGCGCAGTTGAATATTTTTATAGAAACTGCGCGGTATAAATTTAAATTTAATAATAATAATTTAATAACGTTCAGTAAGAAAATTATTGTTTATGTTTTTTTGGAGGGGGGGGGGGGAAATCAGCTTTTGTTTGAGATTTGAAACTTTAAACGATGATTAAGCAAGACATGCACTCGATGTCTTTTCGTTCTTAGGGAGGTATTAGATTATTTCTTGTTCAAAATTTTCTTTGTCAAACCAAAAACAGGGAAAATAAAAACCTCCACGAGGCTCAGTGTGTATACTCTCAAACAGAAATAAAACTATCTTCATAACTTCTGGTGTCACTATGTGTTTGCTCTCTGTCAAAACCTGTTAGAACCCCTCAAAACATACTGAAATAATAATAATTAGGGCTTTCTTCGAAGTGGATAACTGACATCAGGGTACTGCTGAAGAACTGCTTTTCTATTGCTGGCTCTTTCACTTGGTGCTTTTGATCACGCTGACGCCAGACCGTCGTTTTTCGCGAGTGGAAGTGGAAAGGTCAATTGTTCAACTATCGAGGCACAAATCTTTGCTCAAGCACCCGTACCAGTGTAACTGACCCGAAGTCGTATACTAAGAGCGTCAGATCTCTTGTTTTTTGTGTAACAGAATTATAACTTACCATACTTGTAAGCAAGCTAAGAGCTGTGGAAACCTAGCGGAGGTGAAAGTAATGTACGACTTTTCCGATTGTTTTCCAAAAAAAGTCGTGGAGAACCCATTATGCGGATTTCCCATAAGCTGTTGCTAAAAAGAAGTAGATCAAGTGGGAAACAAATGTCCAGATGATACATTACAGATGTGACTTTAAATGCATGGATCTTAGACGTCTTGTTTACAAATATACACACTGTAAAATGAAAAGAGCCAAATTGACCCCAAAAGCCAAATTGGCCCCAATTTCTCGAGGGCCAGTTTGGCCCATCAAGGTTCGTTTTGGACTATTTGAGCCAAAACGGGCGGGACAGGTACCATTTCGACCGCTCCAAAATCTGAATTGGCCCCTATGAATTCTACTTTGGAACTTTTTCTCAATTTTCATTTCATTTCTTCCAAGAGCCAAGTAGGATTGACCAATTTGGCCCCAACGAGGTGCAATTTTTGAAAAAAAAAGAAAATATAAAAATAATTTTCTTTTTTCGACCATATTTCGTTCCCTATACTATTCCTTATAAAGTGTTCAAATTTTCAACGGTTCCTCTCGTAACTGAACACCGAGTCACACAACGAATTAATCGTTGGCTTTTTCTCGAGACGTGAGCGTGAGCTGGCTGTGATGGCATTAGTCGAACCTAGACCACGTGCGTCGGAAACAATAATGAATTATAGCAGCGAATTCGTCACTGAAGAGGCTGTTTCTTGACTACAGTCGCATGGAATGAGACTTAAGAAAGGAAAGGTAGGCAAAAGAAATTTCTTAACAACGTATTTTACTGCAACTTTACATTCACAAACTTGACCGCTCCATTGATCTTTGTTCGTATCTTATCTTGCAGAAAAAGACGGTTGCGATGGCCAAGATCTCCTTGCCATCGCCCAAGATGCAGACGTACCAAGGCACTACATCCCTATTATAAAAGAGCGTCTAAAGCTCAAGAAATTGATTGCAATGAACGCTGAACCTAGAGATGACACGAGTTCTTCGTCGGTACGATAATTAATTTTCCCACCAGAGAATTTGACGCATGAATGGTTCGCCTCTTCTCCCGAGTCTTGTTGAGTCTCAGCGGTTTCGCAACTAAAGTCACGTGATCAAATTTTGGCGCCGAGAGATAGAGACGGTTACAGTTCGAATACTGCATTTGCACAAGATGGATTTAACTTATTTCAAGATTCTCTGATTTTAGGATCTCTCACTCTGAATTCTTAATCTTTTTCTTGAAAAGATGAACTGATATTTTTATGTCTATGTCTTTGTTTGCATCCACTTATGTCTATGTCTTTGTTTGCATCCACTTAAGCTGATTTTTTGGCTCTCACTCTTTCAGCGTGCAGAATCAAGTCCTTCGAGTAAGACGGTTCAAACGTCGATTGATGATTCAGAAAACATCAGCGATTATGAAAATTTAGAGGTGACATTGGCACCGAAAGAAATGGGTAAATCAATATTATAAATCGCTCAAGGATCTCTGTTTTACGGACGAGGCGACAGAACTGAGCACTGTCTAAGTAAGTTCTTGTATATTAAACTTAGCAGGATGGTGAAGAGTACATTATCGATTACTTTCTTTCGATTATATCCTAAAGGAAAGCACACAAGGTGCCAGTTGGTCAGTTAAAGATGACAAATCTCGGGGATTGCACCCACAAAAATGGCGAGATTTGCTTTATTTTTATTGAAATATATTAGATATGTATTTACTTGCACCATGCATAAAACAAAGTAAACCCAATTTTTAAATCTGGTAAATTAAAAAATTAGTGAATTGATAGGATGTTATCAGACAGTTTAATTTTTTTGAAAACAAATATTTACCTACAGGTTCCTCCTGAATGGCTTTCAAAATTCCAACTACCATCGAGGGTAAGAAACTTTTCTTTGTTTTGTTTTTTAAGTCTACAAGCAATCCTTATTTATTCATGAATACTGAACTAAAACTGAAGTGCATAGATGTATGATTTCTTTTCTTGATAAGTACATATACAGTTTGGTGAAAATACATCATTGATGATCACCATTATTGTGTTTTTACTTCTTATGCACAGTTTGCTTACAAATATTTTGCAACTTTGTAGTTGCAAAAATTTACTGTTCTCCAACAACAAATTAATTTGCTCATTTGTTTGTTTTTTTGTACAGTTCTCTGCCTCAGTAGAGTTGGATACCCAGAAGGGATATCTCATCAGCAGCCTAAAGTACTCTGAGCAACAGTGGATTGCAAAAAAAAAATTATTGCAGAGTATCCTTGTATGGTTAGCAGGATACTAGACTAAGTTGACTTGGAAACTGAATGGATTGGTATGGTCTAAAAATCTATTGCTTCACCTCTTCTGCTTGCAGTGAAGAGAGACAATTTTGTGGTGCTGAATCTCTTGCCTTAAACTAAAAAAGTTGCAAAATAATCACTCTCACCTTTTAAGTTCATGACCTTTGTTCTTGTGTGTTTGTCATCATATGCATTTAATGAAGTTGTGACCATTTTGGAGGTACAAGTCCAAAAAACTGCTATTTTGGTACTAAGATGAACATCTTTGGGGCCAAATCAACTCTTTTAATTTTACAGTGCACAACTTTAAACCTTGCCTTCTTGGCTTAGAAGGCACGTTTCCCGTAAGTTGCTTTAGAAGAACTACAATAACTAAATTAAGAATACGTCATGATAGCCCATTAAAAATGTTTTAAATGTATTGACTGTATTGATAATCAGTATATGCAGACTTAAGATTCGATGATTTATCATATCTTTGGCTTATGATGATTTGAGTCTTTTCCTTCCCTATTTCTAATTTTAAAAAAAAATTAATAAAGTTAAATTATACGTGCACTGTTGTTATGAAATGATTCATATTTTAAGTTTTTAAATTACATAATCAGAGAGACAGAGGAACTAAGAGACAGATACTGTGCTAAGTTTAAAAGTCAGTACTTGAGCCATAATGCGGGGTGTGAACGTGTCATTTTAACATGCCCCAATCCAAAGTGAGTTGAGCTAGGAGCTTCAACGCATAAAGCATAACGGCATAGAAAAAATGCTAGCCGTACTTAAGCAGCCGTAGATAGATATTTGTATGAAACGAAATCATGCCGTAGTGAAAAAATGGTAGAGGAGATGGTCGCCTTGGGAAAAATAGGACGCAGAGCAATTGACATGAGTGTGGAACCCCAAGGTATATATTCCACAAATATCAGCATCGATTATACTCGGAGAAGTAAAGATGAAGAGCCACTGTATCTTAAAGTAAAAATAATGTACTTCGGCAAGCATTAAAAACAAGCATTGTAAACAAGCATTGTCCATCCACTTCTGATAGTTAAGTGATTTTAGTGGAATAGTATTCCTATTGTATTCCTTTCGAAACGGAACAGATGTAAACGTTGTATAGATGCAGATAATTGTTCTCTCACTGTCCGTTGCAGACGATCGATTTAGTTGAAGGTTTATCTACAAAAATATATTATTCTTTATTATATGGCAGTCATGACAGGAACAAGTCACTGGTAAGGTCAAAATACTTATTTGTTCTAAGTCACTGGTCTGGAACAGACCTGCATGTTAAATTTAAAACATATTATCGGAACATTCTCATACATTCTCTTTTTGTCCCGGGGAAAAAAAGTTTTACTTTCGAATGAAGGTTTAAATATTTATTTGCACTGAATAATAAGCCTGAAGAGATTTTCACGTTAAATATAGGCCTAAACTTCAGACATCTTACATTTTAATTTTCTTTTTCTACACTATGTTATTGCGTATTATGCTTCTATTCATCAAAAAAATTCCCAAGTTAAATCCATAATAGGGAGAAAAATAATCATTTTCCGGGACTTTGTCTTGATCGATTTGTGTCGCAACAGCTGATAGGAAACCCGCAAGACAGATTTTTTTTTAAGCAACTGAAGTCGTAAGCTACAGTCGTCGGCCGTGAACAATGAAGATTCCTTTTGCATTCATGGTGCACTACAGGTGTGTCGCAGACACGAACAGCCCTGATCTTCTTAGTACACGAGTTAGCTACTGATAAGGGTGTTTGTGACAGGATTTGTGCCTCTATTGCTCCACAAGTGACGCTTCCATTTACAACCGACATAGAAGGTACTGGACTCAACTGTGTTCTGGCATCAACGTACTTAATGGTACCAAGTGAGAGAGCCAAAATCATAGCAACTGTGAAATAACGGATCTAAAAAACAACATAGCGGGGTTCAAATTTTATTGGTTTCATTTATTTTTTTGTAGTATTGAATGATTTTGAAAGGATCTATTTCATTGGTGTAAAGCAGGAATAAAGAAAAAAAAGGAAACGAAGAAAGGAAGAGAAGTTTAAAGCCGCAAAAAAAGGCAAGGGAAGAACCGCCCGTTAGTAAAATGTATGCTTTTCCTTACTCGCTAAAGTAACTCAGACTAAAGAGTTCAAAAGAAAAAAAGAATTTTTGAAAACCTTACTTGATGTGGATGGAGGACCATTTTGTCTTTCTTTGGGTTCCTCTGGCAAAAAGTAGTCTTCAATCTCAGCTTCTGGAGAGTGGTTCTCGTTGTAAATTCATCGCTTTATAAACGCTACGAAAGACTAAAAATGTCTTAGTTGTAGGCCAGCAACTGGGAACGAATGAAGTTTCATCGCTTATTAGGGCGTTTAAACGTTGGTGAAAAGCTTTTATCCCTTTCGGCTTCCTTTCAGAATACAACAAAGTTAAAAATAATATTTTTACCAATTATAACAATCAGTTACCACACTCATTTGCCTTTTCAATGTTTCTATTTTCCTTCGTCAATTGTTAACCAATTTAGAAACAAAAAAGTTGCGGAAGAAGTTAATTGAAAATTGGGTTCTTCCTATGCAGGTATTGATTAAACACTTACAACATCGCTTTATTCTTATCATTATCCAGCCTGTTTTGCCATTTACCAATTAAACCATGCATGGTTGTCCTCAGTAATGGAAAAGGGGAATTTTAAAGTTGACAGAACGAATCTAGACCTAGAGTAAGGACAATATTTTCTTACGCTGAAACCGGGAAGGTCTCCATCTCGGTAGTATATATGCGATTAACCCGTGTCTTTCGGAACTACTTCGTGAATCGATTTGACAATGTAAAACACTTCCTGCTACAATGATCTTTATTTATATCAAAATCGAAACAAAAAACGCGATTTGCAACCAAGTTAAGACGAATCGAGGAGTAGTAAATGGCGTCACAGACTCTTTGTCATAATTTTTTTTGTATAAAGTTGTAGGGCAGGTAACCGAAACGTCACGTGGCTACAAGTATTCAAAGGCTTTAGAATTTATTTTTCAGCCCATGTGTTAGGTGATGTGGCATGCTTTAGGTGTGAAAACTTCATAACTCTACCAGCAGCTGTCTGCAATCCAGTACACGAGAAATTACTCCTTCTTAGTTTTCTACTACCGTTCCGAAACCCCCCTTTTCCCTGTTTTCATAGATCGGTGACGTCAAGCAATCTACATGCACAGCTGCGTGTCATATCTACCGAGGAGGCAATAACCTCATATATCCACTTCCCCATGCGTATAGCTCTTTATTATTTTGAAGGCTATCCGTGAGTGACATAAAACGTGTTTCGCCCAAACGAAAAAGGAAAAATCCTTTGGGAACTTTTAGACACAGGGATTTTATCTCAATTACTTAATGAAAAATGAGCATTAAATATTTGTTTTTAAGCGGAACGTTTGATTCAGCAGTTGAAACTGACTGAATCGAACCCTTTCAGGAAAAAAAAAGTTCGGAATAGCGGGTGGTCTAAATAGTTCGCTATGGCATAATGAACCTAAGAGCACTGCAGGAGGTTTTTGTATATTTTTAATTTTGAATTTTGTATATTTTTAATATAAGCAGTAGTATTTAGACGTGAATCATGCGTGAAAGCTGACAGTATTTGAGAAGAATATCGTAGACATTGTATCCAAGAAGTTAAAAAGTTAAAACACGTTAATATAGAGAGAATTGTACTTTTTTTTTAATCTTTAAGTTTTGAGAATCAATCACTATCTGAGAAAAACATTGTATCTTCGTTGAAACTTAGTTAATGATTCATTCTGTTTTTTTGTTTGTTTATTTTAAGGTTTCTCAGAACGGTTTGGTTATTTTCAAACTATTATATGATCCATTTTTCCAATCGTCCTTTTTCTTTAATTAAAAAAGTTTCGCAACAAGTTGCTGTCATTTTTGTGGTATGCATCATATATTTAAATGTTTTGATTTGTAATTGTAACCTATTGCATTAAGTACGTAGGACCTCATAGGAAAATTGCGAAAGGTTAAGGAACCCTCTCAAATTTTCAACACCTGAAGGACAATCTTTAATGAAAGAATTCGAAAGAAACACAGGAAACACCAAAAGGAATTTATAAAAAAACAAATATCCAGACTTTCAGAATACCTCCTGCTTAGTGCACTTGCACCACGTCGTTTCAAATATGTTTTTATTTTAGAGTAAGGAAATTTTCTTTCAAATAGGCTGGTGGTAAGGTTATGATGAAATAGGGTGACCTGGTCACTTTTTGAGCGGATTCAGTCTCCAGCTCAGTTTTATTCAGGACTGTGTTGATTCCAGATTCATCAAGACACTAACCAATCTTTGCACCACATGCGCCTTCGTTCACTCGTTTACTCTTACTCTGTTGTTGATTCTATTCTTTGGTACCATTGGAAATATTGACGCCAGACCTCAAAGTTCATTGCAATCTGAACGAGAAAATGTAACTTGCAGAACAATCGAAGCATTCATCAACACTCAAACAACCCTGCAGCTGGACGTGTCAAACTCTTGCACTGAAAGTATAAGAGCTGTGAGAGTCTGTAACACACCTGTAAGCCATCGTGTTTTTAAGAAAAATTGTCGAGGGAAAAACGTCGCCATCGACTTTTCAAATTGCTTTCATCAAGCTCTGACATGCAAGTTTACCTATGATTGTTGTTAATTAAGCGGATGAAATGTGCGTTTTAAAACACTTTACTAGAAAACGTATTAGTGGCCAGGATCGACATGTGTTTAAGAAATAGATTTTGCAATACTTCATGGTTGTGAAGTTTTATTTATTCAGTTTCTCTTGATTTCAAGTGGACTGCTTTACGCACATACCACCTTCATGGATGCTGATTAACCCATGAAGTCGATAGTCCAGGAAAAATATACTAGCAAGGTTAAAGTGGGAGAGCGAGTTTAATTGTCAGAAGGTTTTTCCTTATATTGTATTCAAGGGAACAAATGTGTGGTAAACATGTGAAAGCCTAAAATGCTTGAAAATAATCATGCCTCAAAATAATCCTGATTGACAGATATTTAACAAATAGAGAAGCCTTGACTGTGCTCTGTTCTGTTATAAAGCACGCAGGAAGCGGCTAGAGCA